TTAAGTTAATAAGTAATGAAACAAACATATCCCTTAAACTCTAGGTGTTGGTAATTCAAAACAACTATAAGTATATCAGACATTTTGTAAATCTCTAAGAACATGCTGCATTAATCTATCTATCTATCTATCTATCTATATAGATATAGATATAGATATAGATATATTACCCCACAACTGTCATTTCATAGAGCAGCTCGTGGGTAGTGGGAACCACTATACTTGAGTTCTCTTTACTCCATTAGTAAGAACTAATTGTTCAGCCTCTGTTGACTTCTTCAAGTGACACTTTATCAAGAGATAGCCCCTTTTACTGCAGTACAGTGCATTATTAATCCTAACATATACTGAGCTAGAATTTACTTGCCTACAATTTCCATGAGTCTAATTCTAATTACATACATTATGGTTTTATTTTGGCCTATAATTCATTTTCTTTTACATTCAAATTACTAGTCTTTATAAATGGCTGATCTATTTGGTATAATACTTTCCTTTATTTTTTTCCTTCTGAACAAAATTAAATATAGGTTGATATTTCAGACTTTGATACCAATATTGATAGTTCAAGGTGAAAATAAAATGAAGAGCTTAGGTTTTGGTTAGGAAAATTGCTAGAAAAATGGAAAATAACAAGGAAGTATCCTTAAAAATACTCCTTTTCTTTCTTTCTTTTTGATGCTAAGCCAAACCAAAAGAGCAACAGATGTCTAAAGTAGTGTTTTGATTTTAGTTTTCATGAGGGTGAGGTATTTTTGCTTTGATGACAGACTCACATATTGGCTTATCACTTTCTTAAAGTCTATGTTGTGAGGATTATTCTTCAATTTTAATAAAGCTATCTCCTTTGTTAGCTAAGTATCATCTATCATAACTCTTTCAATGGTTTTGTAAAAAATGTTAATGAAATATAAGCTATACATCCAAAGTTGAATAATATCTGTAAGCAGATCTTGAAAATAGCATAAAATACCTCAAACTTTTTATACTGACATATTTGGATTTTTAATATTTGAAGATAAACTTTAAAAATTATCTTATTTATTATGTCTCAGTCCATCCTGAGCTTTTGTTTTTCTCCTGATCTCTCACACCTATATTGTAGGATAGGTAGTCTTCGATCATTGTTTTTCTTTGACTCTTTTACTTTTTTAATATGGAAATTTGTGTTTTCTCTTTTTGCTTTTTAGGGGCTGCTTTCTTACCTCATCACTGATAGGCACACTTGCATTAAGCCTTACAATACCTCTGTCCATAATAGCTGACATGTGTATGCAAAAGGTAAGCCAAACTATTTATTAGATATTTTATGTGTTATTAAAACAGAGCTAATGGAAGTTAAGGGATGTGACTCAATTATAAAGGATACTACCATGAATAATACTTGATATCTTCTCTCCCAAGATGCTTACCTACATAGAGATACAAAAAGTACCAAACAAATGGATGATCTCTTGCATTTTTAGCTTTTCAATCTTTATTTTCTTAATTTCTCAGTTAAGGACAGTATCTTTCTATGTAGTTTCCTGGTTTTGGAGCTGATTATGTTCCAAATGTTTTTTGGTCCGTGGCATAGAGTAGGGGATATATTTATATATTTTATCCTGTAAGCAGTAGTGTTTTGATTTCTAAGAGAAACTCCAAAGATTCCTTAACACTATGATAATACTACTACAGATATGGGAGACCCGTGAACAGTGAGTGATGTTTCTCAGTGATTGCTTGTTTCTGTCTGGACTCAGCAGGGCGAGGGCTCCTTTCCTCTTCTGTGAAGTCCTGGCCTGCATCCGGGATTCTTGTGNATATGCTTTATAAATTCTCCTCAAATCAGCTGAGTAAAAAACTTGTGCTATCTGTAGGATATTTGTGGATATCTCCCAAAAGGTATCTGCATACCAATAGATGAAGAAACCTGGTGATGAGGGTTCTAAGTTCAGCTTACAGGGAATCTGTAGACCTGGAATACAGCTGTTATAACTTCATTTATCTCATACTCATCTGAAAAATGAGGAAACTGGGCTATATAAGTAGCTTCTAAGCTGATTTACAGAGATTCCTGAGAAGGTTGGGAGGACTTGGAGTTGCATCCGTGGGTCTGGTTTTTGGACTCCTTTGCTACTTCAACTGGAACAGCTCTGCTTTATTGCGCTTTCTGCATTATAATTTGTAGAAAAATTTTTATGCTAAAAATAGTTTGAATATCCACCTGAAGTTTAACAAAAATAAAACATTTGAAAAGCCACCAACCAAACTGAGTGATCACTTAAGTTCCTTTTAAGTAGGAACACGTGGTGGAGCCCTTGTGCAAAATTGAATGTTTTCTAATTATAGAGTTATAAATTTAGAAAATGTAAATCAATCACAGCTACTAACTTTTGTCTCTTTTATACATATTTAGGTTTTGTAGGTCTGTTTAATCTGCTGCTCTTATGGCCAGGTTTCTTTTTACTTCATTATACTGGATTTGAGGACTTTGAGTTTCCCAATAAAGTAGTATTAATGTGCATTATCATTAATGGCCTTATTGGAACAGTTCTCTCAGAGTTCCTGTGGTTGTGGTATGTACTATTTATTGCCCTATGATTTATTAGTTATCAGTGTATGGACTTGTGGGTAGTTGAAGCATTTATATTTCTTTTGTCTTCTGATGGCCCCTCCTGTGCACCTTCTCACTCCACATACTTAGTAATTTAATACAGTAACTCCATTAGAGCAGGAGCTTTGATTTTTTTATTTTTAACTTCTAATTATCCATTGTATAGAGTAGTGTTTTATACAAGAAAGGAGATAAAAAAATATTGAATGAATGAATGAATGCATGAATGATCTAAATTTGTAAAAGTGTTTTTGGAAGTAGAGTATTATGTAAATAAAAGGTGTCACCTAATGAACATCCAAACTTAGAAAATGTGTATCCTGAGATTGAATAACATGAGTTATAAGTGAGAATCTGGAGGACTTTAAGAGCCTTTGCTTATTTAAGAGACTTTATTTGGTTATTCATATACTTTTTTGTTTTGTTTATTCTTAGAACTTTTCATGTGGATGAATCAGATATGTAAACCCTCAACTCTGATTACACATGTTAATATACTTGGAAATGTTATAATGTCAAATATGTTGATATGGGATAATAATCCTAAAATAGTTTGAAGACAATATCATGTATGGAGTTTAAGAAACCTTTCAAATATAAAGCTGGATACTTAGTCCTGTTTCCACCTAATAGAACTTTAAAAAGAATCACAAATTGTACTTAAACTCCTAAATGAATTGTGTTATATGCCAATTAAGACTACTGACTAGCTTTCTCTTGCAAAAACTGCAACAAAAATCGCCTTTTGTATCAAGTCTTCCTTAATGCTCTGCCTACACTTCTCCCTCTTCCCCAGTTAAGGAAATATCTCTATTTTCTTCATGTCCTCCACACACACTCCCTTTCATGTAGTACTTAAACATTTACTTTGTATTGTAGTAACTATGTACTTATCTTAAATTCCTTTCTAGTCTAAAACTTTTTTCTTTTAAAGATTTTATTGGGGAATTAGGGGAGAGGAAGAGCGCTGGGGAATCGGGGGAAGGGGAACAGACAAGTTGCTGACCTTTTGTTCTTCAGTCTAGTTGTGGAGGAC